TCTCTCTCTCTCTCTCTCTCTCTCTCTCTCTCTCTCTCTCTCTCTCTCTCTCTCTCTCTCTCTCTCTCTCTCTCTCTCTCTCTCTCTCTCTCTCTCTCTCTCTCTCTCTCTCTCTCTCTCTCTCTCTCTCTCTCTCTCTCTCTCTCTCTCTCTCTCTCTCTCTCTCTCTCTCTCTCTCTCTCTCTCTCTCTCTCTCTCTCTCTCTCTCTCTCTCTCTCTCTCTCTCTCTCTCTCTCTCTCTCTCTCTCTCTCTCTCTCTCTCTCTCTCTCTCTCTCTCTCTCTCTCTCTCTCTCTCTCTCTCTCTCTCTCTCTCTCTCTCTCTCTCTCTCTCTCTCTCTCTCTCTCTCTCTCTCTCTCTCTCTCTCTCTCTCTCTCTCTCTCTCTCTCTCTCTCTCTCTCTCTCTCTCTCTCTCTCTCTCTCTCTCTCTCTCTCTCTCTCTCTCTCTCTCTCTCTCTCTCTCTCTCTCTCTCTCTCTCTCTCTCTCTCTCTCTCTCTCTCTCTCTCTCTCTCTCTCTCTCTCTCTCTCTCTCTCTCTCTCTCTCTCTCTCTCTCTCTCTCTCTCTCTCTCTCTCTAGCGTCTGGTCCGTCTCCCAGATGCGTTTTGTCGACAAGTGGAAAAAGGGGTTTTATTTAATATATTTTAGTACTAATAATTAAGTTAGTTCCAGAAATATTTTGTATGATGTTTGAGGTCCAGAGACTGATGTTTTCGAGAAAAATTCACAACAATATTAACTGGTGAATTTAATATTGGTGACGTGACAATAATATCCAGTTTTTCCCGGGCAAAATTCCTCGATTCTAATTTTCTTTGCATGAGTAAAAAAAAAAAAATTGAGTTAGTTCAAGTTCAAGTATGTTTATTGAAACAAGAAAGAAATACATCTCAAAGGGATAGAGTAGCTTAGGCTATTTCTACCCCCCATTTGAATTAGTATGTGTTAATTTGTTATAGCAGCAACAATATTATCTGCATATTGTATTAATAGTTAGTAAATGATCTCGGGTCATTTCCCCCTGACCTCCAGCGCCTTGTACGTGGTCGTGCCACTTTGCCTCGTTACCTGGGGTAGTTAGTGGTGGGAATCCAGTAGATTAACAGCGGCCAGAACGATGGACCGTAATATCTGACCTTCAGGGATTTTTTCAGTCATTTTTTCAACTTCAAACTCGGTATTTACCGGTTCAATTTCCAAGAAATTCCCATCATCCTACAGATTATGGAGCAAAGTTTTTATCTCGACGATTTGGAAAAAATAGGAATTAAATGAACGCACAAAGTCATAGAGTTAGAAATTTTCAAATGGTTCAGTTTGATGCATAATTGCAGTAGGGGCACATGAAAATATTTAGTTTACAGCAAGGAGGCTTATTGCATACTCTGGCAAGACAAAGTCAAGATCAGATGTCATCACGATACCTTAATATATATAAAACTGGCTTCAATTTGTATATGATTTTGATTTTTGAGCATTTTTTATATTTACCTTAACGGGTGTGAAACTTTTATCAGCATGAGGCCTTATAATTTTTAATTTATTAAAAACAGTTTAAATAAATTGAAGAAATGTAATTATTTGCATGGGAAGTGAGGGAGGTGTGGCAGGGACCACCTGGGGGCCCCCTGTGGCTGCTCAATGATGGAGGAGGTGTGGCAGGGGGACCACCTGGGGGCCCCCCTGTGGCTGCTCTATGAGGGAGGAGGTGTGGCAGGGGACCACCTGGGCCCCTGTGGCTGCTCTATGAGGGAGGTGGTGTGGCAGGGACCACCTGGGGGCCCCCTGTGGCTGCTCTATGAGGGAGGAGGTGTGGCAGGGACCACCTGGGCCCCTGTAGCTGCTCTATGAGGGAGGAGGTGTGGCAGGGGACCACCTGGGCCCCCCTGTGGCTGCTCTATGATGGAGGAGGTGTGGCAGGGGGACCACCTGGGGGCCCCCCTGTGGCTGCTCTATGAGGGAGGAGGTGTGGCATGGGGGGAGTGGCCCTCCCTTTTCCCAGGTTCCCTCCCACACAATCTGCCTGGGAGCCCGAGGCTTCCTTCCCTGGACCTCCTCCCTCTCTCCCTTCTCCCTACCAAGGACTCCCTCTCCATCCCTGCCCGAGCCTCCCCCCCCCCACACCCAGGGACCGTCCCAGCCCGTCCTCCAAGGCAGTTTAAAGAGGAAAGCCTGATGCAGGTGTTGACCCTGGCTGTTGCTTGACGGTGAGAGAGAAAGAGACAGCCAGAGAGACACAGAGACAGAGACAGACAGCCAGACAGACAGACAGACAGACAGACAGACAGACAGACAGACAGACAGACAGACAGACAGACAGACAGACAGACAGACAGACAGACATCAGACATTAAACCTACAGTTTCAAACGTAAATATGATAGAGCCCAGAACGCTCAGGAATCTTTTAACCAGTTGATTAATAGTTGAGAGGCGGGACCAAAGAGCCAGAGTTCAACCCCCGCAGGCAGAACTAGGTAAGTACATACAGACAGATCCCGGGCCACGCCGGGTACTGCCTGTTGTAATGACAGCCACAGACTGAGTTAAAATGTGGTGTAAAGCCTTCTTATAGTAAGTCACCAGTCACACTGACCACAGACCAGTCACCCAGACCACAGACCAGTCACACTGACCACAGACCAGTCACACTGACCACAGACCAGTCACACAGACCACAGACCAGTCACCCAGACCACAGACCACCAGTCACACTGACCACAGACCAGTCACACTGACCACAGACCAGTCACACTGACCACAGACCAGTCACACTGACCACAGACCAGTCACCCAGACCACAGACCACCAGTCACACTGACCACAGACCAGTCACACTGACCACAGACCAGTCACACTGACCACAGACCAGTCACACTGACCACAGACCAGTCACACTGACCACAGACCAGTCACACTGACCACAGACCAGTCACCCAGACCACAAACCAGTCACCCAGACCACAGACCAGTCACCCAGACCACAGACCAGTCACCCGGACCACAGACCAGTCACCCAGACCACAGACCAGTCACCCAGACCACAGACCAGTCACTCAGACCACAGACCAGTCACCCAGACCACAGACCAGTCACCCAGACCAGTCACCCAGACCACAGACCAGTCACCCGGACCACAGACCAGTCACACTGACCACAGACCAGTCACCCAGACAACAGACCAGTCACCCAGACCACAGACCAGTCACCCAGACCACAGACCAGTCACCCAGACCACAGACCAGTCACCCGGACCACAGACCAGTCACCCGGACCACAGACCAGTCACCCAGACCACAGACCAGTCACCCACACCAGTCACCCAGACCACAGACCAATCACACTGACCACAGACCAGTCACCCAGACCACAGACCAGTCACCCAGACCACAGACCAGTCACCCAGACCACAGACCAGTCACACTGACCACAGACCAGTCACCCAGACCACAGACCAGTCACCCAGACCACAGACCAATCACACTGACCACAGACCAGTCACCCAGACCACAGACCAGTCACCCAGACCACAGACCAGTCACCCAGACCACAGACCAGTCACACTGACCACAGACCAGTCACCCAGACCAGTCACCCAGACCACAGACCAGTCACCCAGACCACAGACCAGTCACCCAGACCAGTCACTCAGACCACAGACCAGTCACACTGACCACAGACCAGTCACCCGGACCACAGACCAGTCACCCAGACCACAGACCAGTCACACTGACCACAGACCAGTCACCCAGACCACAGACCAGTCACCCAGACCACAGACCAGTCACCCAGACCAGTCACTCAGACCACAGACCAGTCACACTGACCACAGACCAGTCACCCGGACCACAGACCAGTCACCCAGACCACAGACCAGTCACACTGACCACAGACCAGTCACCCAGACCACAGACCAGTCACCCAGACCACAGACCAATCACACTGACCACAGACCAGTCACCCAGACCACAGACCAGTCACCCAGACCACAGACCAGTCACCCAGACCACAGACCAGTCACACTGACCACAGACCAGTCACCCGGACCACAGACCAGTCACACTGACCACAGACCAGTCACCCAGACCACAGACCAGTCACTCAGACCACAGACCAGTCACCCAGACCACAGACCAGTCACCCAGACCAGTCACCCAGACCACAGACCAGTCACCCGGACCACAGACCAGTCACACTGACCACAGACCAGTCACCCGGACCACAGACCAGTCACCCAGACCACAGACCAGTCACCCGGACCACAGACCAGTCACACTGACCACAGACCAGTCACCCGGACCACAGACCAGTCACCCAGACCACAGACCAGTCACCCGGACCACAGACCAGTCACACTGACCACAGACCAGTCACTCAGACCACAGACCAATCACACTGACCACAGACCAGTCACCCGGACCAGTCACCCAGACCACAGACCAGTCACCCAGACCACAGACCAGTCACACTGACCACAGACCAGTCACCCAGACCAGTCACCCAGACCACAGACCAGTCACCCAGACCACAGACCAGTCACACTGACCACAGACCAGTCACCCGGACCACAGACCAGTCACACTGACCACAGACCAGTCACCCAGACCACAGACCAGTCACACTGACCACAGACAGAGAGGATGTGGCCACAGAAGATCACAAGGTGTTCACCTCGTTGGAAGGTAAAAAAAAAACAATTATATACAAAGAATAAAGTCAAAATTCCGTGTTAATAAATATTTTAAACCCATCATATATAAAAAAAAATAATTGAAAACAATAACATTTCAAAAGTTTTGCAACATAAATAATGTTTATAGAAAACGAAGCCAATTATCATATAGAGTGGCCCATAAGTTAAACCAAATATACCATAAGGGCCTTGTTTGCTCTAAGTTTGAACAGGAAACACACTTTAGTCTACCCTCAGGAGAGAATAACATTGTAGAGATTCATTGTACTGGTTCTTGGCTGAATGCTGACTTTGTTCCATTAAATAATTCCTAAAACTGTGGAGTTATGGTTGAAACACTGAACCGGTTGGCGCGGAGGGCCGGTTGGCGCGGAGGGCCGGTTGGCGCGGAGGGCCGGTTGGCGCGGAGGGCCGGTTGGCGCGGAGGGCCGGTTGGCGCGGAGGGCCGGTTGGCGCGGAGGGCCGGTTGGCGCGGAGGGCCGGTTGGCGCGGAGGGCCGGTTGGCGCGGAGGGCCGGTTGGCGCGGAGGGCCGGTTGGCGCGGAGGGCCGGTTGGCGCGGAGGGCCGGTTGGCGCGGAGGGCCGGTTGGCGCGGAGGGCCGTGTGCTGAAGATGGAAAAATTCAGATTACATTTGGAAAGATTTATATCCTCAGTAAAATGACTCATCCCGAGTAATGGCCGACTATTGCACTGTTAAAATAAAATACTGTTATAGAAGGGGGGGTCGTTGGTACCACTGTACCTTCGGGGGGGGGGGGGCAGGTGTTGTTGGTAGGTGTTGTTGGCAGGTGTTGTTGGTAGGTGTTTGTAACACCATAAAGGTGTTTACTTAATATTTCACATAGAACATGAGTCAGTCATACAGGATATTTGATGCCGCCAGAATGTCTGGCCTTAGCAATTAAGGAATCACACCTCTAGGGTGTTAATGACCACAAGTTGACCAGAGGTCAGGTCGGGTGAATTGACCTTGTTTCTCCTAAGCTGATAATTGCAGACGGTTGGTGGTGTGTTTCCATCAAACAAGCCGCTGTTTAGGCATCGTAGGTAGAGAGCCTGAGGTTATCTTACCGGTAGGCGAAGCTTAGCTCCCGGATTCCCCATAAATTCCCATGGAACTGTACATTCGAGAAATCAGACACAGAGAGGATTGAAGATGGAGCAGGAGCGAGTAGAGGGCTGATCCTGAGGCTCCAGCCACCAGACTGGCCTCCTCAGGCAAGAAAGGGGGACTCTGTCTGTCAACTGTAGCCCCCAATCCTCTCTATCCAACTTAGGCTCAGAGACTTTGGTGAGTTGAACTTTAAGGTGACAAATTTGGTGTGTTTCCAACTTAAGGTGTTGTGTAACTTTCAGGGGCAGTCAGCCGTAGTGGCCTCAGTGTCTTGTGTGGTGACTCACATTCTATATTATTGTTCTCATTTAACATCCAAACGTATGAATGAATTCTGATATCCATATGAGTGAACATCTTAAGTTAATGTATTAAATATTTAACATATGTTTTTAAATTGTCTTTAAATTTGTTCCCTAAAACTTATTATCTTTAAGGCTAGACTGGAGAGCACTCTGAACTTACTGACTTAAAGATTCTTGCATGAACAAGTACATGATCCCAGGTGATACATGTTAACAGTTGATAACAGCTTAAAGCTCAGACAAGTTCATTCCTTGTCTTGTATGTACTCAACCTGAATGGATGGTGGCAGCTACTTTCATCTTTCAACCGTTCTATCTTTCTACTATTCTAGTACTGTTACTTTCTACTCCTTTTATCTCCCTCTGCCAACATCTCATCCTTCATTTTCTTTCCAATTCATTTTCCGATACGTTACATGTTATTGGCAGGTGTTGTTGGCATGTGTCCACTCCAAGCAACAGCCTGGTGGACCAAACTCTCACAAGTCAGACCTGGCCTCGGGCCGGGCTTGGCGAGTAGAAGAACTCCCACAACCCCATCAACCAGGTATCAAACAGGTGTGACTGATGAGGCCAATCCCAGAGTGGCAGTCCATCCCACACCGAGCACAAACGAAGTCTGATTCTGGTCTGTCTTCCTGGCTACCGGCTTTCCTTCTCTGTCTCTGCCTCTGATTCCTTGGCAAGTGACTCCTCGAACTTGGAGAGACCTCTGTGAACAGACTGCCCCCAGGCTGAACGGTCTGCAGCCTGTGTCTCCCATATAGCAAGATCGACGTCCATGACTTTCAGGTCCCTCTTGCATACGTCTTTGTACCGTAGCTGGGGCTTTCAGGTCCCTCTTGCATACGTCTTTGTACCGTAGCTGGGGCTTTCAGGTCCCTCTTGCATACGTCTTTGTACCGTAGCTGGGGCTTTCAGGTCCCTCTTGCATACGTCTTTGTACCGTAGCTGGGGCTTTCAGGTCCCTCTTGCATACGTCTTTGTACCGTAGCTGGGGCTTGCCTGTTGGACGCTTTCCCTGCATCAGCTCTCCGTACAGGAGATCCTTGGGGATCCTGCCGTCGCCCATTAGCACAACGTGCCCGAGCCAGCGCATTCGTCTCTGCTTCAGCATTGTGTACATGCTGGTGATTCTTGCTCTCCCCAAGACGTTGTTGTTTGTCACCAGGTCCTGCCAGGTGATGTCCAAGATGTGTCAGAGGCAGCGCATGTGGTAGGCATTCAGCTGTCTTTCCTGACGGGCGCGGAGTGTCCAAGACTCACTGCCATAAAGAAGAGTGCTCAGGACACAGGATCTGTAAACCTGAATCTTTGTATACTCAGTTAGCCTATTGTTGGCCCACACTCTCTTTGTCAGTCTGGACATGGTAGTAGATAACTTACCGATGCGTTTGTTTAGCTCCGTATCAAGAGAGAGGGAGTCAGAGATTGTGGAGCCCAGGTACACGAAGTTGTGAACGACTTCCAGTTTGTAGTCAGAGATTCCCATGTCAGGCGGGGAGTCCACTCCTTGTCCCATGACCTGTGTTTTCTTTAGTCTGATGGTGAGTCCGAGGGCCTGACAGGCCTCGCTGAAGCGGGTCATGCCAGTGCTGGGATCTGGGGTGTCTCCAGGAGACTCGGTGTTGAGGCTTTGTGCCGAAGAATGTGTTGGTGACACAGAGACCATGAAGGCAGCAGAGTTCTAGCAGACGTTGGCCGTTCTCATTCATCTTCCCTATGCCGTATTGGCCCAGACAAGTGAGCCAAGAGTTTATTGTATTGCCTGATCCAATATACTTATATTGTCTGATCACCAGCGTTCCTGATAATTTTTTCATTCTCTCGTTTATCTTCCTTTGTTTTGTTTACTTCTCTGCATATTCCTTTGTTTATCAGCTCTCCTTCTTTCACTCCTCCGTCTGCTTCTATTCCCTTCCCCTTAATTCTTCCTGAGTCTTTCACATCCCCTTCATTCCTCCTGATTCTTTCCTTTTTTCCATCCTCTCTCCATTTTCCGTCCACTTCTCCCAATCCTCACCGCTTTCTTCCAGCTAATATTCCCTTCTACTCACTATTCTCTTCTTCTATTCACCCTCCTCCGTTCCTGTCCACTCACGTTCTCTACCCCATTCCCTTCCGTATCTAACTCTTGTTCTCTATCCCCCTTCCCAGCCCTCTCTATCCCTTCCTTCTGAGCCCTTCCTCTCCCTATCTTCCCTCACTCCTCAGGGGGTGAGATAACATAGAGAGCCAATGGCAAGGAGAAGCGATAATGCGCTGTAAATACTCGTAAATACTGTCATAATGAACATTATCTATCTCCCCCCCCCCCTCTCTCTCTCTCTCTCTCTCTCTCTCTCTCTCTCTCTCTCTCTCTCTCTCTCTCTCTCTCTCTCTCTCTCTCTCTCTCTCTCTCTCTCTCTCTCTCTCTCTCTCTCTCTCTCTCTCTCTCTCTCTCTCTCTCTCTCTCTCTCCCTCTCTCTCTCTCTCTCTCTCTCTCTCTCTCTCTCTCTCTCTCTCTCTCTCCCCCCCCCCCCCACACACCCCGTGGCACAAAATCCTCTGGCAAACAATTAAATTAAAACTTCGTCTCTCTCTACCTTTAGTTGTTGATTTTGTGAAGCGGCGGCAGTCAGGAGCTTGTAGTGGGCCGTCACGGGTGAGCAGGCCTCGTGCCGTCCTCATTTTCACTCTCGGGATGGACATGTTTCGCCCTGTTCCTCGAGCTGACCACAGTAAGAGCCAGGTGGGACTTAAAATCTCGCCTTCTCAGTCGTGTCCAGCACCCGTAGGCCTCATGAATTTTTAACAGATACTATCTCTTGCTAGGCCTATTGGATATATCTGAATCACATGATGTTAACATGTATTCTATGCCTTCTCTTGCTTGGCCTACTGCATATATCTGTTTTACACATTAGTGACATTTAAAAAAGAAGTTAAAGCTTCTACAGTGAAAAGTGTTATATAAACTGGATTACAATATCCGAAGCATTTACATTTATAATAAGTCATTAGTTTCAATCGTCGAGGGATTTAAGAGTGGATTAATTTATATTTTGAATAATTATTTAGTCGTTTTAATCTTGATTCAACATCTTTGAAGGTGATTATACGCGACTTTTCAACATCTTTGAAGGTGATTATACGCGACTTTTCAACATCTTTGAAGGTGATTATACGCGACTTTTCAACATCTTTGAAGGTGATTATACGCGACTTTTCAACATCTTTGAAGGTGATTATACGCGACTTTTCAACATCTTTGAAGGTGATTATACGCGACTTTTCAACATCTTTGAAAGTGATTATACGCGGCTTTTCAACATCTTTGAAGGTGATTATACGCGACTTTTCAACATCTTTGAAGGTGATTATACGCGACTTTTCAACATCTTTGAAGGTGATTATACGCGACTTTTCAACATCTTTGAAAGTGATTATACGCGGCTTTTCAACATCTTTGAAGGTGATTATACGCGACTTTTCAACATCTTTGAAGGTGATTATACGCGACTTTTCAACATCTTTGAAGGTGATTATACGCGACTTTTCAACATCTTTGAAAGTGATTATACGCGGCTTTTCAACATCTTTGAAGGTGATTATACGCGACTTTTCAACATCTTTGAAGGTGATTATACGCGACTTTTCAACATCTTTGAAGGTGATTATACGCGACTTTTCAACATCTTTGAGAGTGATTATACGCGACTTTTCAACATCTTTGAGAGTGATTATACGCGACTTTTCAACATCTTTGAAGGTGATTATACGCGGCTTTTCAACATCTTTGAAAGTGATTATACGCGACTTTTCAACATCTTTGAAGGTGATTATACGCGACTTTTCAACATCTTTGAAGGTGATTATACGCGGCTTTTCAACATCTTTGAAAGTGATTATACGCGACTTTTCAACATCTTTGAAGGTGATTATACGCGGCTTTTCAACATCTTTGAAGGTGATTATATTTGATTTTGAACCAAATATAATTTGTTGTCAAAACATTTCATTAATAGTGACACTTATTTAAAGCAAGGGATTGCATTAAGTTGATTCATTGCCTTTTGTTTGCAAGTCTGTGTCTCCCTCACTATACCCCGAGCAGAGGCAGTCAGCCCGCCACCACACACTTTGTAGACAAAGTTGAAATGAGATCCATTAAACTGTTGTGTGATGGCAAACTGTGCTGCTCCGAGTGAAGTCTCCCCATGCTCACTATTTTACACCAAATACGACAGGCACTTGTTTGAAAAACT